GGTACCTTCCCCTCTTTCATACATTTATTAAACAAAAATACTAACCACTCCAACATTATATCCCCCCCCCTGCTTTTAACATTTCTGTCATGATCGGTGGCCCGGTGGCCTGGTGGCTAAAGCTCCCGCTTCACACACGGAGGGCCCGGGTTCGATTCCCGGCGGGTGGAAACATTTCGACACGTTTCCTTACACCTGTTGTCCTGTTCACCTAGCAGCAAATAGGTACCTGGGTATTAGTCGACTGGTGTGGGTCGCATCCTGGGGGACAAGATTAAGGACCCCAATGGAAATAAGTTAGACAGTCCTCGATGACGCACTGACTTTCTTGGGTTATCCTGGGTGGCTAACCCTCCGGGGTTAAAAATCCGAATGAAATCTTATCTTATCTTATCTTATCTTATCCCATCAGTTCCAGCTGCTTTACCCCCTTTCATTCTATGTAATGCCTCACGTACCTCCCCCACATTTACATTCTGCTCTTCACTCCTAAAAGATGGTATACCTCCCTGGCCAGTGCATGAAATTATTGCCTCCCTTTCTTCCTCAACATTTAAAAGTTCCTCAAAATATTCTCGCCATCTTCCTAATACCTCCCTCTCCCTATCTACTAACTCCCCTACTCTGTTTTTAACTGACAAATCCATACGTTCCCTAGGCTTTCTTAACCCTTTGACTGTCGCGGCCGTATATATACGTCTTACGAGGTACCGTGTTTGACGTATATATACTCATAAATTCTAGCGGCTTCAAATCAAGCAGGAGAAAGCTGGTAGGCCCACATGTGAGAGAATGGGTCTGTTTGGTCAGTGTGCACCATATAAAAAAAATCCTGGAGCACGCAGTGCATAATGAGAAAAAAAAACTCCGACCGTTTTTTTTTTAATTAAAATGCCGACTTTGTGGTCTATTTTCGTATAGTATTTATGGTTGTATTCTCGTTTTCTTGGTCTCATTTGATAGAATGGAAGACATATTATAGAAGTAGAGGTGATTTTGATTGATTTTACTATAAAAAGAACCTAGAAATGGAGCTCAAAGTAGGGGAAATGTTTGATTTTTGCCAATGTTCAAAAGTAAACAAATGATGCCATTGTCCAATAAATGTCCACCTAGCCATTCTAATATGCAGTCATGAATGGGTTGATGTTATTTATACAATTATTACAGTATTGCAGTAGTCTGCATAATAGTAAGTCTTCTATTTTTTGTTTGAATAAAAATTCAAAATAGAAAGCAAGAGTAATATCAGAGGGGCCTGGAGACATGACTGATGAGCAAAGAAAATGTTATTTTAGAGCCAGGAATGTCTGCATTGTTCATTCTGGACCTTATTTTGAAATTGTCATATTTTTTAGTTTTCGTGAAATTGGCCAAATTGCAAATTTCTGACCACATTATTAGGCAGTTGAAATCGGTAAATGGGCAGTTTCTTGTACTCAATCGATAGAAAAAGTGGAGTTCTAAAGAAATAGCTATGAGCTTGGGCGACTGGAACAATGGAATTAGCCGAAAATAGGGCTCAAAGTGGGCGAAATCGCCGATTTGTAAACAGCGCCAAGGTCTCTAACTTCGCAAGAGCATAATTCCGTCAGTTTTCCATCAAATTTCGTTTTTTTGGTGTCATTACAATCGGGAAAAGATTCTCTATCATTTCATGAGAAAAAATAATTTTGTTTTTTAAATTTTGCGACACCAGGAGACACCTCAGGATTGGGGGTTTCGACAGTCAAAGGGTTAACTTGTTTAACTCACTCCAAAATTTGTTCTTATTTTCATTAAAATTTCTTGACAGTGCCTCTCCCACTCTATCATCTGCTCTCCTTTTGCACTCTCTCACCACTCTCTTCACCTTTCTTTTACTCTCCATATACTCTGCTCTTCTTATAACACTTCTGCTTTGTAAAAACCTCTCATAAGCTAACTTTTTCTCTTTTATCACACCCTTTACTTCATCATTCAACCAATCACTCCTCTTTCCTCCTGCCCCCACCCTCCTATAACCACAAACTTCTGCCCCACATTTTAATACTATTGCACAACATCCACACACATTCAGACTTCCCACTTTGACAATTTTCTTCTTATTCTTTTTAGTAATATTTACAGGAAAAGGGGTTACTAGCCCATTGTTCCCAGCATTTTAGTTGACTTTTACAACACGCATGGCTTACGGAGGAAAGATTCTTATTTCACTTCCCCATGGATATAAAAGGAAAAGTAATAAGACCAAGAACTATTAAGATAAAATCAAAGAAAACTCAGATTAGTGTGTATAAATAAACGTGTACATGTATGTGTAGTGTGACCTAAGTGTAAGTAGAAGTAGCAAGACATACCTGTAATCTTGCATGTTTATGAGACAGACAAAAGACACCAGCAATCCTACCATCATGTAAAACAATTACAGGCTTTCGTTTTACACTCACTTGGCAGGATGGTAGTACCTCCCTGGTTGGTTGCTGTCTACCAACCTACTACCACAGGATGGTAGTACCTCCCTGGGTGGTTGCTGTCTACCAACCTACTATCACAGGATGGTAGTACCTCCCTGGGTGGTTGCTGTCTACCAACCTACTACCACAGGATGGTAGTACTTCCCTGGGTGGTTGCTGTCTACCAACCTACTACCACAGGATGGTAGTACCTCCCTGGGTGGTTGTTGTCTACCAACCTGCTACCACAGGATGGTAGTACCTCCCTGGATGGTTGCTGTCTACCAACCTACTACCACAGGATGGTAGTACTTCCCTGGGTGGTTGCTGTCTACCAGCCTACTACCACAGGATGGTAGTACCTCCCTGGGTGGTTGTTGTCTACCAACCTACTACCACAGGATGGTAGTACCTCCCTGGGTGGTTGCTGTCTACCAACCTACTACCACAGGATGGTAGTACTTCCCTGGGTGGTTGCTGTCTACCAGCCTACTACCACAGGATGGTAGTACTTCCCTGGGTGGTTGCTGTCTACCAGCCTACTACCACAGGATGGTAGTACCTCCCTGGGTGGTTGCTGTCTACCAACCTACTACCACAGGATGGTAGTACCTCCCTGGGTGGTTGCTGTCTACCAACCTACTACCACAGGATGGTAGTACCTCCCTGGGTGGTTGCTGTCTACCAGCCTACTACCACAGGATGGTAGTACTTCCCTGGGTGGTTGCTGTCTACCAGCCTACTACCACAGGATGGTAGTACCTCCCTGGGTGGTTGCTGTCTACCAACCTACTACCACAGGATGGTAGTACCTCCCTGGGTGGTTGCTGTCTACCAGCCTACTACCACAGGATGGTAGTACCTCCCTGGGTGGTTGCTGTCTACCAACGTACTACCACAGGATGGTAGTACCTCCCTGGGTGGTTGCTGTCTACCAGCCTACTACCACAGGATGGTAGTACTTCCCTGGGTGGTTGCTGTCTACCAACCTACTACCACAGGATGGTAGTACCTCCCTGGGTGGTTGCTGTCTACCAACCTACTACCACAGGATGGTAGTACTTCCCTGGGTGGTTGCTGTCTACCAACCTACTACCACAGGATGGTAGTACCTCCCTGGGTGGTTGCTGTCTACCAACCTACTACCACAGGATGGTAGTACCTCCCTGGGTGGTTGCTGTCTACCAGCCTACTACCACAGGATGGTAGTACTTCCCTGGGTGGTTGCTGTCTACCAACCTACTACCTACAATAGTACATATACAGTACATATATACATGTAATACATATAACATACAAAAATATGTTAATTTATTGTTTGTGTTATCAGTAAGGCTTCCAGTCAGTAGTAGGCTATTAGTAGTTAATTTTTTGGGGAGTCAAAAGTTACACGTGGATTTTTGACTGTGCGGGGGTTCGGCACCTCTAACCACCACGTTGTTCGAGGGTCAACTGTATCTGTAGCTACAGCAGTAGAGCCATGCTCATAGTGTCTTGTCTTCAGTAATTTGTTCATCATATAATTCCTGAAAATTAATATATGTAAAAGGAAGAAAAACTTCATAGTTTTCTTATTTTTCAGGTCACCTGCCTCAGTGGGAGACAGGCAGTATGTCAAAAAGGATAAAAAAAAAGAAAATTTCTTAAAATTTCTGTTTGTTAAAGCACATCCTCGTTTAACTCATTCCTTTGTTCATTGTCTTGTCTGTTCATGTTATTAGTTATTTGTTAGTTTTATTTTAGCTTTTAACTCGTAAACGGTCCAGACGTATATACAGTGGACCCCCGCATAACGATTACCTCCGAATGTGACCAATTATGTAAGTGTATTTATGTAAGTGCGTTTGTACGTGTATGTTTGGGGGTCTGAAATGGACTAATCTACTTCACAATATTTCTTATGGGAACAAATTCGGTCAGTACTGGCACCTGAACATACTTCTGGAGTGAAAAAATATCGTTAACCGGGGGTATACGTTTTTTCAACATTTGAAAGTATGTAAAAAAAGTAGATCTTCTTTTTGTTTTTTTTACATTTGAAAATGTGTAAAAAAAACTTTGATCTACTTTTTTTTTTTTGTTATATTTGAAAATATGTAAAAAAAAACATAGATCTACTTTTGTAGCACTACACATGTGAACGTAGATCTGCTTGGACCATTTACAGGTTTAAGCGAGGTTGCATTTGCTATTTATTGCTAAACGCTGGGTGATCTCACAAGTGAAAATATTCAAATCCCACAACATGTGTTCTGCCTCCTAGTCATGTTTAAAAACATAGACATTGTATAATTTGTGTGGGCATTTATGACAATTTTTGTATATAGTATAAAAATAAAAAACATATCTACGAGCCTCTGGCAAGACAGTGATAGTGTAAATGATGGTGAAAGTGTTTCTTTTTTGGGTCACCTGGCCTCAGTGGGAGACGGCTATCATGTTTAAAAAACATTTTTTGTCAACAAACCGGCCATATCCCACCAAGGCAGAGTGGCCCAAAAAGAAAAAAGAAAGTTTCTCTTTTCACAGATAGTAATAAAAAGTAAATTATGACATTTATTACAGGGGTGGAGATCAAAACAGGGAAAGTGGATGGTAATGGCGAGCATATCCTTATCCAACCCGAGGATATCCAGCTCTCTACTGTGGATGATTTAGCATCCACTCACATAGTCAAGGTGAGTCAGCCCATCCTCTTAATAACCTACATTATTCCACTCTTTCAAAGACAGTTAACCTTTAAACTGTCCAAATGTAGATCTACGTTTTTTCAACATTTGAAATTATGTAAAAAAATGTAAATCTTCTTTTTGTTTTTTTTTACATTTGAAAACGTGCAAAAAAAACTTTGATCTACGTTTTTTTGTTACATATTGAAAATATGTAAAAAAACATAGAGCTACTTTTGGAGCACTACGCATGTGAAAATAGATCTGTTTGGACAGTTTAAGGGTTAAATAATAATAATAATAATAATTATTTCTACAAGTACATGTATGTACATGGTAGTATACAGTATAGCTATCAGATGAGATGCATTAACTGAAAAAAAGAAATCCATGCTCTGGAAATTATCACCGGCGCGTGTAAACGGCTCAATTGAAAGCCGGCAAAAACATGAAACTCCAAAAATAAGTGCGGTGTATGTGGGGTCCTCCTGTATTGTATCTTTGTATAGGGTTGATAAAGCCGGTGTGTGGCAAAAAGTGTCCTCAATAAAGATTTCCGTATGTTGCATAAGTGTCTCATTCTTCAACATGTCGGCTTTGAAAACCATTTATTGCATCTTTGTGCTTGCATATAGCTAAGTGAAGATGTGAGCATGGGTGAGGTGCTGTTTAGTGGCGAGTACATCCAAGGTGACGGATCGGCCGAGGAACATACATCCGCTGATGACGCCGTCTCCCTCCAGGTATGTGCCGGTGTTTGAATAACACTTTGTGATGTTTAAATGTCCAGTGGATTTATTTTAAGCACACTGACCTTCTCCCATCAAGGTAGGGTGACCCAGCAAAGGAAACACATTCACCATCGTCCATTCAGTCGTTGTCTGGCTAGGTACGTACTGACGTCACATTTCAGGTGACCCTCTGAGCTGCAACATCCCAAATATAGAACAGAATTGAACTGCTTAAGAACAAAGTTAGAAGCTTTTTCTTTTGCATAAATCTCTGATAAGAATTTTTTTCAATTTTATCATTACCGGTGATAAGCCTCCTTTTGGCTTCTATCAGAATTAGAGGTTATTGAAGCAAAAGTTAGGACAAAACTGGTAAATAAAAAATATTTGCTTTCTAATTTAACCCTTTTGAGGTCTGTGCTGTAGTACTATGGCTTTGAGCTCAAGATCTGTGCTGTAGTGCTACATGATGAGCTCAGTTCACTTAGATAAGTGGTGAGCAGTAAATTTGGGCCTAGATACGACAGAATCAGTGATGGACTGAACACATCGACTCCAGGCTGAGGGACTGATTACCTCAAACTCCTCCTCTCCTTATACCTTCTGCTTTGTATTGGACTGATGAAGCCACTGAGTGGCAAAACGTTTCTTCAATAAAGATTCTCATGTGTTGCATAAGTGTCTCAATTCTTCAACTTATCAGTTTTCTAAACCATTCATCACACACAGAATCAGTCTATGTGGTAAGTGTGCATCATATAAAAAAATTCTGCAGCACACAGTGCATGATAGGAAAAATACTGACCGTGTATTTGGTTTACAATAGTGACTTTGCGGTGTATTTTTGGATAGTTTTTATGGTTGTATTCTCTGTTTCTTGGTATAATTTGATAGAATGGAAAATATATTACAGAAATAGAGTTGATTTTGATTTGTTTCAGGACTGAAAGTAGCTTGAAACTGAGTTCAAAGTAGTACAAATGCTTGATTTTTGTTGATATTCCAGAGGACACGAATTATGTCACACTTCCAATACATGTCCAACTGGTCAGTCTAATACGAGTTCACGAATGTACTGACATTATTTATGCATTTATTACAATAATGCAATAGTCTACATAATAGTAAATCTATTTTTTATGTGAATAAAAATTCAAAATGGAAAGCAAGCGTAATAAAGGAGAGGCCTGGGGGACGTAACTGATGAATAGAGGAAATGTTTTTTTTTAGTGTCAGGAATGTCTATATTGTTTATTCTGGACTCTATTTTTTAACATGGTAGTTTTGTAATTTTGTGTGAAATTGGCCAAATTACAGTGGAACCTCAAAAATCGAACTTTCTTTGGTCCAGAAGGCTGTTCGAGTGCCACTACCGAACGAATTTATTCCCATCAGGAATAATGTAAATTAGATTAGTCCATTTAAGACCCTCAAAAATACACTTATAAAAGCACTTACAAAAATACACTTACATAATTGGTTGAGTTGGGAGCAGTTCGATTTTTGAGGTTCCACTGTACTGATTTCTGATCACTATATTGGGTAGTTGAAGTCGTTAAATGGGCAGTTTCTTGAATGGATGGCATACTAGTGAAATAGCTAAGAAGGTCGACTGGATCAATGGAATTGGCCTAAAATTGGACTCAAAATCGCCGATGCATCAATATTGCCATGATCGCTAACTTTGTGAGAGCATAATTCAATAAGTTTTCCATCAAATATCATGCTTTTGGCTTCGTTACCTTTGGAAAAAGATTCTCTGTCATTTCATATTTTTTTTTTTTTCAACAAGTCGGCCGTCTCCCACCGAGGCAGGTGACCCAAAAAAGAAAGAAAATCTCCAAAAAGAAAATACTTTCATCATCATTCAACACTTTTACCACACTCAAACATTATCACTGTTTTTGCAGAGGTGCTCAGAATACAACAGTTTAGAAGCATATACGTATAAAGATACACAACATATCCCTCCAAACCGCCAATATCCCAAACCCCTCCTATAAAGTGCAGGCATTGTACTTCCCATTTCCAGGACTCAAGTCCGACTATATGAAAATAACCGGTTTCCCTGAATCCCTTCACTAAATATTACCCTGCTCACACTCCAACAGATCGTCAGGTCCCAAGTACCATTCGTCTCCATTCACTCCTATCTAACATGCTCATGCACGCTTGCTGAAAGTCCAAGCCCCTCGCCCACAAAACCTCCTTTACCCCCTCTCTCCAACCCTTTCGAGGAGGACCCCTACCCCTCCTTCCTTCCCCTATAGATTTATATGCTTTCCATGTCATTCTACTTTGATCCATTCTCTCCAAATGACCAAACCACCTCAACAACCCTCTTCTGCCCTCTGACTAATGCTTTTATTAACTCCACACCTTTTCCTAATTTCCACACTCCGAATTTTCTGCATAATATTTACACCACACATTGCCCTTAGACAGGACATCTCCACTGCCTCCAACCGTCTCCTCGCTGCTGCATTTACCACCCAAGCTTCACATCCATATAAGAGTGTTGGTACTACTGTACTTTCATACATTCCCTTCTTTGCCTCCATAGATAACGTTTTTTGACTCCACATATAACTCAACGCACCACTCACCTTTTTTCCCTCATCAATTCTATGATTAACCTCATCCTTCATAAATCCATCTGCTGACACGTCAACTCCCAAGTATCTGAAAACATTCACTTCTTCCATACTCCTCCTCCCCAATTTGATATCCAATTTTTCTTTATCTAAATCATTTGATACCCTCATCACCTTACTCTTTTCTATGTTCACTTTCAACTTTCTACCTTTACACACACTCCCAAACTCATCCACTAACCTTTGCAATTTTTCTTTAGAATCTCCCATAAGCACAGTATCATCAGCAAAAAGTAACTGTGTCAATTTCCATTTTGAATTTGATTCCCCATAATTTAATCCCACCCCTCTCCCGAACACCCTAGCATTTACTTCTTTTACAACCCCATCTATAATATATTAAACAACCATGGTGACATTACACATCCCTGTCTAAGACCTACTTTTACCGGGAAGTATTCTCCCTCTCTTCTACACACCCTAACCTGAGCCTCACTATCCTCATAAAAACTCTTAACAGCATTTAGTAACTTACCACCTATTCCATATACGTACTTGCAACATCTGCCACATTGCTCCTCTGTCCACTCTATCATATGCCTTTTCTAAATCCATAAATGCAATAAAAACTTCCCTACCTTTATCTAAATACTGTTCACATATATGCTTCAATGTAAACACTTGATCTACACATCCCCTACCCACTCTGAAACCTCCCTGCTCATCCGCAATCCTACATTCTGTCTTACCTCTAATTCTTTCAATTATAACCCTACCGTATACTTTTCCTGGTATACTCAGTAAACTTATTCCTCTATAATTTTTACAATCTCTTTTGTCCCCTTTCCCTTTATATAAAGGGACTATACATGCTCTCTGCCAATCCCTAGGTACCTTCCCCTCTTTCATACATTTATTAACAAAAATACCAACCACTCCAACACTATATGCCCCCCTGCTTTTAACATTTCTGTCATGATCCCATCAGTTCCAGCTGCTTTACCCCCTTTCATTCTACGTAATGCCTCACGTACCTCCACCACACTTACATTCTGCTCTTCTTCACTCCTAAAAGATGGTATACCTCCCTGACCAGTTCATGAAATTACTGCCTCCCTTTCTTCCTCAACATTTAAAAGTTCCTCAAAATATTCTCGCCATCTACCTAATACCTCATCTCCCCATCTACTAACTCCCCTACTCTGTTTTTAACTGACAAATCCATACTTTCCCTAGGCTTTCTTAACTTGTTTAACTCACTCCAAATTTTTTTCTTGTTTTCAGTAAAATTTCTTGACAGTGCCTCTCCCACTCTATCATCTGCTCTCCTTTTGCACTCTCTCACCACTCTCTTCACCTTTCTTTTACTCTCCATATACTCTGTTTTTCTTAAAACACTTCTTTGTAAAAACCTCTCATAAGCTACCTTTTTCTCTTTTATCACACCCTTTACTTCATCATTCCACCAATCACTCCTCTTTCCTCCTGCCCCCACCCTCCTATAACCACAAACTTCTGCCCCACATTCTAATACTGCATTTTTAAAACTATTCCAACCCTCTTCAACCCCCCCACTACTCATCTTTGCACTAGCCCACCTTTCTGCCAATAGTCGCTTATATCTCGCCCGAACTTCCTCCTCCCTTAGTTTATACACTTTCACCTCCCTCTTACTTGTTGTTGCCACCTTCCTCTTTTCCGAGAGCAAATTTCAGATCAGGGGTCTGGACCCTGAGAGGGTTAATAAAGTTTAAAATGCTTTATGAATGCAAATCATTCATCTTTATAAATGTTATTGTGTTCGATCTGTTGATGTTCAATTTGGAGAGGCAACGTTAAACTCCATTATCACGGTGTTGAATGTTTACTCTCAAAGTTGACGATGAAAAGTGTATTGTTCCAGCCACAGTATTGTAACTTTTATTTATTCTGTAATGTTTATGAGGGTAGACTTATTTATTCTGTAATATATATGAGGGTAGACTTATTTATTCTGTAATGTTTATGAGGGTAGACTTATTTATTCTGTAATATATATGAGGGTAGACTTATTTATTCTGTAATGTTTATGAGGGTAGACTTATTTATTCTGTAATATATATGAGGGTAGACTTATTTATTCTGTAATGTTTATGAGGGTAGACTTATTTATTTCTGTAATGTTTGTGAGGGTAGACTAGGTATATATTTATACTTAGGCAAAACCTGGTCATGGACTGGGCCACAGGGGGCATTGACCTCTGGAACACTCTCCAGGTATATTCCAGTTATAAAGCTCAAGTCAAGTCTTCTATAAAGCTCCTCTGTAGAGTGCAATATTTGTTGCAAAGTTGATTGAAAGAACACATGCAAGATTGCATAGCTGCCTGTGCTATGAAGGCATTTCAGTTTGTTGTTTAATTTTGAATTCACTTTTTCAATCATATTTATTAAATATCACACTGTATATAAGAGCTTTATAAGAGCTGTACTTATGTATAAAAGAGCTTTATAAGAGCTGTACTTATGTATAAAAGAGCTTTATAAGAGAAAGATCTGTACTCACATATAAAGAAGCTTTATAATGAACTGTACTCATAGAGCTTTATAATGAACTGTACTCATAGAGCTTTATAATGAACTGTACTCATAGAGCTTTATAATGAACTGTACTCATAGAGCTTTATAATGAACTGTACTCATAGAGCTTTATAATGAACTGTACTCATAGAGCTTTATAATGAACTGTACTCATAGAGCTTTATAATGAACTGTACTCATAAAGCTTTATAATGAACTGTACTTATAAAGGAGCTTTATAAGAGAGGTGTACTCTCACATTAAGGAGCTGTACTAGATCTATACATGTACTTAAATATAATGGAGGATGAAAATGAATATGATGAGAATGATGATGATAATGATTGTCACGATGATGATTTGTAACTTTGAATTTTATCATTTACAGGAAGGTCATGAGTACTCCTCAAACAGGAAGAAAAGGAGAATAATTTACAAACTTGCAAGATATGGGTAAGTTAATCGCAAAACAGTGATTGAGTGAATGATGGTGAATGCGTTTTCTTCTTTGGGTCGCCCTGTCTTGGCGGGAGGTCATAAATGACCTACTAAATGCATCGCAACTACTCAAACCCACACTACTTGCAGATGACACTACATACGTCTTCTCTCACCCGAGCCCAGTCACGCTAGCCAGTACTGTAAATACCGAATTACAGAAAATATCTACCTGGATGAGGACTAACAAACTTACTCTAAACATTGACAAAACCTACTACATTCAGTTTGGTAACAGAGCTACAGATGTGTCTCTTAACATAATGATAAACGGATCACCTATCACAAAACTCACAGAGGGAAAATTCTTAGGAATCCACCTTGATAATAGGCTCAAATTTCAAACACATATACAGCAAATTTCCAAGAAAATTTCCAAGACCATAGGCATGCTATTGAAGATATGGTACTATGTTCCACAGTCAGCCCTCCTGGCCCTATATCACTCACTTATTTACCCCTATCTCACCTATGGAATTTGTGCATGGGGCTCAACAACAATAAACCATCTCAGACCATTAATTACCCAACAAAAGGCTGCAGTCAGAATGATACAAATTCCCACTACAGACAGCACACTCCACCAATATTCAAAACTCTAAATCTACTCACCATTCAAAACATCCATACTTATTACTGCACCTAGTACATACATATAACACTTAACACTGATATGAACCCTCCCCTCAAACTTCTCCTTACCAACCTCAACAGAACACATGACCATAACACAAGACACAGATCACTGTTTGATGTTCCTCGTGTCCATCTCACGCTATGCAAAAACTCAATGCACATAAAAGGCCCTGAAATCTGGAATTCATTACCTGTATATATAAAAGAAACACTGTCTGTTTATAAACTCAAGTCTCTTCTCAAAGATCACTTACTTACCCACAACCAAATAAATACTGAATAATTGTATCTTAAAAATTGTATCTCATAAATGTTTCTCATAATTGTATCTCATAAATTTTTAAAACCTGATACCCAATCAAACTTTGTTTTTTTTTAATTACATTACCAAACAGAATACTCCATTCTACTGAATGCTCAGCAACACAGTAAATGACCATATAACCTGTCTTTGTAATACTCATTTGTACTAAATTGTTATCTGTTTACAATAATGTTTTACCACTGAATATATCACTGCTTAGTTAACCTTAAGTTAATTTTAAGCTGCCCATAATGCTCTGCATACAAGGGCTTTGGCATGCTGCACTGTAATAACTGTATTCATTTGAACTACTCTATCATGCTCAAATTAAGAAATAAATAAATAAAAAAATAAATAAAATAATAATAATGATAATACAGGATTATTACTTAAATTAATAGGTACGAAACACCCTTAATGTTGTTCAGTCATACTTTTGGGTTTAGTGCTTTGTTATGATTATAATAATGTACAATCATAGTGGGTAGAGAACTAAGAGTGTAAAAATGTTAGATGATGTGAGGTTACTGGAGGTGCAATTCAGAGGGCTGAAAAAGGCTTGTTGAGGTGCTCTGGCCATTTCATTGTATAATATACAAAGTGTGATTTACATGTTATAGAATCTTGTTTAGTACAAAGAAAACCTTGAGCAGTTGTGGCAGCATGTTTCAACGTCATTGTTTTAAATTGTGCTGAATTGTAATACTGTATTTTTCTTATATACTACAGTGGACCCCCAGTTTACGATCATCTCCCAATGCGACCAATTATGTAAGTGTATTTATGTAGGTGCGTTTGTACGTGTATGTTTGGGGGTCTGAAATGGACTAATCTAATTCACAATATTCCTTATGGGAACAAATTCGTTCAGTACTGGCACCTAAACATACTTCTGGAATGAAATAATATCGTAAACCGGGGGTCCACTGTATATCAAAACTATAATTCTTCTCTACCAGACTTATTTAAGCCATATAGCATGAACTAGCTGAATATTCAGTTTTCTTGTATCCACTGTATCTTACCTAATGATCATATGTACAATTACAGTGCTGTTATTGCCTTATTAATCTTAAGTTAGTCTTAAGTTTGCCTGAAATGCTCAGCATATAAAGAAGCGTTTGGCATATATACCAAATTGTTACACTCCTTTGTACAAATATGTATCATGCTAAAATAAAATTGTTATTGTTATTGTTTATGTCTAGATCTAGGATTAGTCTGTTTTAAATTGCACTGCAGGCTAGTGTTGTGTTAAATAGGAGTGAATGGAGACGAATGTTTTTTGGGACTTGATGAACTGTTGGAGTGTGAGCAGGGTAATATTTTGTGAAGGGATTCAGGGAAACTGGTTAACTGGACTTGAGCCCTGAAGGTGGGAAGTTAAATACCTGCACTTTAAAGGAGGGGTTTGGGATATTTGCTGTTTAGAGTTTAGTTAGTTTAATATGTTTATTATGCACTATATACCCATCCTGTGGGTGGTAGTCAAAAGATTACAGAGGTACATAATTGGTCCAGGGAATGGACTCCAAAGTTTTGATAACTGAACAAGTTACGAAGGTAATGAACTAGATCTGGTCACAATCATGACAAGTTGCAAAGGTAATCAGCTCCAGGTAGAGCTGGTCACAATCATGACAAGTTACGAAGGTAATGAATCATAAACACGTCCATACATGGTTACAATCATGAACAAATTTCAGAGTAATGAGCAATTAACAAACATTATAGGGGTTGCATCCATTGCCCCAACAACAGATGTTGCTAGGTGTCTGTCCCTCCTTGGCAGGACAGCCAGACAGCCATTGCAAACAGTAGCAGGTTGTGCCAGGATCTGCTGCTTGCAGGAGCACCATCGACCCTCCCCAAGAGGTCCAAGAGGTCCAAGAGGTCAGCAACTCCGTTAGCAGCCAGAGGGAGAGCTGCCCTGGGGATGTCAACGTCCTGGTGGACGCCAATTTGATTGCAGGTCCCAGTTGAGAGGGACACCTAAACTGTCATATCTGGGTGCCTCTACAAAGACAGTAATAGTATGAAAGATAGTGAAAGTGTTTCTTTTTTTGGGTTACCCTTCCTTGGTGGGAGATGGCTAACATGTTAATAAAAAAAAATATTGTATTACACATAAACTCCATTTTGTATACTGCAGAAAAGAAATAAAGTTGTATTGTATTCCAAGAGGATGTGACAGTCTGGAGGAGTGGAAGGCAGGAGGGGGTAGGGCTCATCTCAGGAATGAGGGGGGTAGGGATCATCTCAGGAATGAGGGGGGTAGGGTTCATCCCAGGAATGAGGGGAGAAGGAGGTTTTGTGTGCTAGAGGCTTGAGCATCCAGCAGGCTTTATGTGAGAGTGTTACAGTGGAGTGAGTGAAGATAAGTGGTGTGTATGGCTGACTTGCTGTTAGAGTGTGAGTAAGGTAACATCTGTTAACGGATTCAAGAAACCAATTAGTCCTAGAGTACTGTATTTATAAAATACCGCTCAACATGTGAGAACATTGTAGAGGTAAAATTGCATGATTTTTTTGAAAACGGATTCAAGAAGGCTGTGCTTGTGTGTTCTTTGCAGACCAGATGATCTTCAAAGAGCAATTGAAGATGTACGTTCAGGAATGGGAACTCTGCGAGAAATTGCTGAGCGATGGGGTGTACCGCACTCCACTCTGTCTATTCATGCAAGAATGGCAGGTGTAGCTGTCCAGCAGAGAAGTTTGATCTATGACAGTGAAACTCTGGAAGCAGCAAAGCAGGCAGTGAAAGGTTTGTATGATATTATGCTGTAATGAAAATTAATAAATAGCTAAATACACCTACCATCCGACTTACGACCGAGTTCGGTTCCGAGAAACCAGTCGTAAGTAATGACTTTATTTTATTGTTTTATTTTGGTATTTCATGTTTTATTTTACTTTTTATGTTGTTAGTACTGTATTTTATACTGTAAGGTTTAGGATAAACACTGTGTACAATGCAAATACAGTGGACCCCCGGTTAACGATATTTTTTCACTCCAGAAGTATGTTCAGGTGCCAGTACTGACCGAATTTGTTCCCATAAGAAATATTGTGAAGTAGATTAGTCCATTTCAGACCCCCAAACATACACGTACAAACGCACTTACTTAAATACACTTACATAATTGGTCGCATTCGGAGGTAATCGTTATGCGGGGGTCCACTGTAGTTGTTTATTTCCCAGAAATTTGGCATGAAAAACATGGTCGTAAGTCGAGTGGTCGTAAGTCGGATGGTAGGTGTAGTATGTAAATCTTGTTCTCTTCTCCATGATGTGGAAAAGAATCCTTCCTCCGTTAGCTATGTGTGTCATAAGAAGCAACTAAAATGCTGGGAGCAAGGGGCTAGTAACCCCTTCTGTATACATTACTAAATGTAAAATGAAGTATTCCTTCTTTTTTGGGGGTTACCTTGCCACAGTAGGAGACGGCCAGTCTGTTGAAAAAAAAATTCTGTTATCTATGAATTACAAAGAGGGTTACAGTGTTTCACAATAATGACACATAGATAAAACCCTATGCAATTCATTTCAGGCATTTTTTTAGTTAGTTTAATATGTTTATTATGCATCCCATACCCATCCTGTGGGCGGTAGTCACCACATACCCATCCTGTGGGCGGTAGTCACCACATACCCATCCTGTGGGCGGTAGTCACCACATACCCATCCTGTGGGCGGTAGTCACCACATACCCATCCTGTGGGCGGTAGTCACCACATACCCATCCTGTGGGCGGTAGTCAAAAGATTACAGAGGTACATAATTGGTCCAGTGACTGGACTCCAAAGTTTTGATAGCTGAGCAAGTTACAGAGGTAATGAGCTCACAATTTACAAAGGTAATGAATTCTGTAAGAATGGTTACTTACGTTTATACACGGCTACAATCATGAACAAATTATAGAGTAATGAGCAATTCACACTTCCACACCCGGTCACAACTGTAGTGAGTTATTGGTGCAAATATTGATTGTTGAGTGTGTGTCTCTCTCTCTCTCTCTCTCTCTCTCTCTCTCTCTCTCTCTCTCTCTCTCTCTCTCTCTCTCTCTCTCTCTCTCTCTCTCTCTCTCTCTCTCTCTCTCTCTCTCTCTCTTCTCTCTCTCTCTTCTCTCTCACTCTCTCTCACTCTCCTCACTCTCTCTCTCTCTCTTCTCTCTCTCCTCTCTCTCTCTCTCTCTCTCTCTCTCTCTCTCTCTCTCTCTCTCTTCTCTCTCTCTCTCTCTCTCTCTCTCTCTCTCTCTCTCACACACACACACACACATATACATACATACATACATTTCACATAACATTTTCTCCCTTGCTGTTCCTCTTATCTCATTCCACCAATCGCTGATATTTTTTAATATCCTGGCTGCCTCCCACAGAAGCAGGGCGACCTGAAAAAGAAACACTTTCACCATCATTCACACTATCACTGTCTTGACAGAGGCTGCACAGCCCTTATGGGTTTAGAGCTCCCCATGAATATAAAATGTGAGAATGTCATATATTGTAACAGAAGCATTCTAGTCAACTAACCTAGTTATTTATTGAGTAGTTATAAGTTAATTTTACGGCTGCCCAAAATACTCTACATAACTGTGGGCTTCCATTACGTCAGTTAAACATGTCAGTTATTCCTTTATCAATCATATACTGTATCTTATGCTAGTTAATACTGTATTTTGATTTTTAATTTGATAATACATTAGTTCTGTTATACAGCTCCTCTATATACCTTAAATTTTGCATTTTTTCTACACACAATTAAAAAAGCCTTCATAGTACTCACTATTCATTTTTGGATGTACTTTATCATTCACATTTACCAAAGACTCACATTATATATTGGAGCTATATAAGAGAATCTCTCATTTGTGTACATTTAAAAACTCCTACTTAATAACCTATATCTAGCAATGGGCTAGTAACCCCTTCTCCTGTAGACATTTACTAAAAAAGAGAAGAAGAAAAACTTTATAAAACTGGGATGCTTGAATGTGCGTGGATGTAGTGCGGATGACAGGAAACAGATGATTGCTGATGTTATGAATGAAAAGAAGTTGGATGTCCTGGCCCTAAGCGAAACAAAGCTGAAGGTGGTAGGGGAGTTTCGGTGGGGGGAAATAAATGGGATTAAATCTGGAGTATCTGAGAGAGTTAGAGCAAAGGAAGGGGTAGCAGTAATGTTGAAGGATCAGTTATGGAAGGAGAAAAGAGAATATGAATGTGTAAATTCAAGAATTATGTGGATTAAAGTAAAGGTTGGATGCGAAAAGTGGGTCATAATAAGCGTGTATGCACCTGGAGAAGAGAGGGAAAGTAGAGGAGAGAGAGAGATTTTGGGAGATGTTAAGTGAATGTATAGGAGCCTTTGAACCAAGTGAGAGAGTCATTGTGGTAGGGGATCTGAATGCTAAAGTAGGAGAAACTTTTAGAGAGGGTGTGGTAGGTAAGTTTGGGGTGCCAGGTGTTTAAAAGATGATGGGAGCCCTTTGATTGAACTTTGTATAGAAAGGGGTTTAGTTATAGGTAATACATATTTTAAGAAAAAGAGGATAAATAAAATATACAAGATATGATGTAGGGGGAAATGACAGTAGTTTGTTGGATTATGTATTGGTAGATAAAAGACTGTTGAGTAGACTTAAGGAGAAAAGAAGCATCAGGGAGAGAGAGGTGAAGGTTTATAAACTAAAAGAGGAGGCAGTTAGGGTAAGATATAAACAGCTATTGGAGGATAGATGGACTAATGAGAGCATAGGAAATGGGGTCGAAGAGGTATGGGGTTTGGTTTAAAATGATGTAGTGTTAGAGTGTTCAGCAGAAGTTTGTGGTTACAGGAAAGTGGGTGGGGGAGGGAAGAGGAGCGATTGGGGAATGGGTGATGTAAGAGGGGAGTTTAGGGAGAAAAAGTTAGCATTGAGGAAGTTCTTAAAGTAGAAGTGATGCAAAGAGGGAAGAGTATTGGAGAAAAGAGAGAGGTTAAGGAGTGGTGAAGCAATGTAAAAAGAGAGCAAAAGAAGAGTGGGTGAGATGTTTTCAACAAATTTTTTTGAAAATAAGAAAAAATTTTGGAGTGAGATTAAAAAGTTAAAAGCCTAGAGAACAAATGGATTTTTCAGTTAAAAATAGGGGAGGAAGTTTTAAATGGAGAGTTAGAGGTATTTTGGGAAAATGGAGGGAAAATTTTGAGGAATTTTTAAATGTTTATGAAGATAGGGAAGCTGTGATTTCGTTATAGGGCAAGGGGGAATAACATCTTGTAGAGTGAGGAAGACCCAGTTGTGAGTGGGGGGGAATTTCCCTGGGCAGTAGGTAAAATGAAAGGGGGAAAGGGAACCCGGGGTTTGAGGGATAAAGATGGAAATGTTAAAAGCAGGGGGGGATATAGTTTTGGAGGGGTTGGTGCAATTATTTAATAAATGTAGGAAGAGGGTAAAGGCCCTGGGGTTTGGCAGGGGGAGCAGCATATTTCCTTTGATAAAGGAAAAGGGGACAAAAGTGGTGAAAAAATTATAGGGGGATAAGTCTGTTGAGTATACCTGGTTTTTAAATGTTGGGGAGGTTTTATTTAAAGAATTTAAAAGTAAGACGGAGAATAGGATAGCAGTGAACAAGGAGGGTTTGGGAAAGGTAGGGGTGTGTGGACCCGTGTTTACAGTGAAACTATGGTGAAAAAGTATTTTGTAAGGCTAAAAAAGGTCTTTTTGGGATTTATGGATTTGGAAACGACGTATGACAGGGTGGATAGGGGGGCAATGTGGCAGATGTTGCAGGTGTATGGTGTAGGAGGTAGGTTACTGAAAGCAGTGAAGAGTTTTTATGAGGATAGTGAGGCTCAAGTTAGAGTATGTAGGAAAGAGGGAAATTATTTCCCAGTAAAAGTAGGCCTTAGACAAGGATGCGTGATGTCACCGTGGTTATTTAATATATTTATAGATGGGGTTGTAAGAGAAGTAAATGCGAGGGTCTTGGGAAGAGGTGTCGTGTTAAAAGATAAAGAATCACACATAAAGTGGGAGTTGTCACAGTTGCTCTTTGCTGATGACACGGTGCTCTTGGGAGATTCTGAAGAGAAGTTGCAGAGATTGGTGGATGAATTTGGTAGGGTGTGCAAAAGAAGAAAATTAAAAGTGAATACTACAGGAAAGAGTAAGGTTATGAGGATAACAAAAAGATTAGGTGATGAATGATTGGATATCAGATTGGAGGGAGAGAGTATGGAGGAGGTGAATGTATTCAGATATTTGGGAGTGGACGTGTCAGCGGATGGGTCTATGAAAGATGAGGTGAATCATAGAATTGATGAGGGGAAAAGGGTGAGTGGTGCACTTAGGAGTCTGTGGAGACAAAGAACTTTGTCCTTGGAGGCAAAGAGGGGAATGTATGAGAGTATAGTTTTACCAACGCTCTTATATGGGTGTGAAGCATGGGTGATGAATGTTGCAGCGAGGAGAAGGCTGGAGGCAGTGGAGATGTCATGTCTGAGGGCAATGTGTGGTGTGAATATAAAAGCAGAGAATTCGTAGTTTGGAAGTTAGGAGGAGGTGCGGGATTACCAAAACTGTTGTCCAGAGGGCTGAGGAAGGGTTGTTGAGGTGGTTCGGACATGTAGAGAGAATGGAGCGAAACAGAGTGACTTCAAGAGTGTATCAGTCTGTAGTGGAAGGAAGGCGGGGTAGGGGTCGGCCTAGGAAAGGTTGGAGGGAGGGGGTAAAGGAGGTTTTGTGTGCGAGGGGCTTGGACTTCCAGCAGGCATGCATGAGCGTGTTTGATAGGAGTGAATGGAGACAAATGGTTTTTAATACTTGACGTGCTGTTGGAGTGTGAGCAAAGTAACATTTATGAAGGGATTCAGGGAAACCGGCAGGCCGGACTTGAGTCCTGGAGATGGGAAGTACAGTGCCTGCACTCTGAAGGAGGGGTGTTAATGTTGCAGTTTAAAAACTGTAGTGTAAAGCACCCTTCTGGCAAGACAGTGATGGAGTGAATGATGGTGAAAGTTTTTCTTTTTCGGGCCACCCTGCCTTGGTGGGAATCGGCCAGTGTGATAATAAAAAAAATAATAAAATAATAATATAATATCTTTATATACTACAAGTACATGTACAAGGTATACAGACCATAGCTGACATCAATGACATACGTACTACTATATAGAAAGACCCTGGTTATGCAGGGCATTTCCCGCAAATTAGGTCAGTTTTGTCCCCGGATGCGACCCACACCAGTCCACTAACACCCAGGTACCTATTTTACTGATGGATGAACGTGGACAACCGATGTAAGGAAACACACTCAGTGTTTCCACTCTTGCCGGGAATCGAACCCAGACCTTCAGCATGTGAAGCGAGAGCTTTGCCTACCAGGCCACGAGTCTTTAAGCATTAGTATTAGTCTGCCTGACATGCACAGCATGCTAGTGAATTTTTTTTGTGCTTAACATATTTTATTACATGTAAAGTACATTACCTGTATACCGCAGAAAAAAACATTATTATTATTATTATTATTATTATTATTATTATTATTATTATTATTATTATTATTATTATTATTCTTTCAATGAACTTGCTGTATCCTACTGAGGCAGGGCAACCTAAGAAGAAAACTCAAAGTTTTTTTTTTTTATAAATTTATACAGGAGAAGGGGTTACTAGCCCCTTGCTCGTGGCATTTTAGTTACCTCTTATGACATGCATGACTTACGGAGGAAGAATTCTGTTCCACTTCACACGGAGTAGTGCACCTACCATCCGACTTACGACCTGCTCGACATATGACCATTCAACTTACGACCGTGTTTTGTATGCCAAATTTCTGGGAAATAAACAACTCTTTGTGTTGTACACAGTGTTTATCCTAAACCTTACAGTATAAAATACAGTACTAACAGCATAAAAAGTAAAGTAAAAAATGAAATACCAAAATAAAAGAATAAAATAGTCATTACAAAAATGTGATGTTAATATTCAGTAGTAAAGTTCGACTTACGTCCATTTTGACTTACGGCCGGTTGGTCGGAACCGAACTCGGTCGTAAGTTGGATTGTACCTGTGTTATTTATTTTTATGGTTATTATTTTTTTCAACATGCTGGCCGTTTCCCACTGAGGCAGGAACCCAAAAAAGGAAGAAACACTTTCACCATCATTCAACACTTTCACCATCATACAACACTTTCACCATCATTCAACACTTTCACCATCATTCAACACTTTCACCATCATTCACACATAATCACTGTCTTTGCAGAGGTGCTCAGACACTACAGCTGAGATGCCACTCCAAGCAGCCAATATCCCATATTATTATTATTATTATTATTATTGCAATATTTTGCAGCTGGAGCCAGTTACATGAAGGTAGCCCGGGAATACAACATCCCCAAGTCAGTGTTGTGGCGGCGGTGCCAGCAGGAAGGAGTGCTCCGTGAAGAAACTCGCCGCTGTTACAACTACTCTCAGGGCGACCTCAACCAAGCTCGCCAGCTGCTACTCAATGGCTGCTCACTTTCACAAATTGTTAAACAAACAAAGGCCAGTTTGCCTGTTAATTTTTTGCAAATTTAGTTTGTGGATACTGAATGACATGGTCTTGATACAGGTGTAGGGTACTTGATCCAAGAAATTGGATCAAACCTGATTTCCTCCAGTTCCCAAGGCACTGTATAACCCCAACATATTTGGGAATGGTAAGTTTTGAGAATAAACCTGCCTAGTATGGGCCAGTAGGCCTGCTGCAGTGTTCCTCTATTCTTACGAATATAATAATATAAGAGAATATAAGAATTATAGAAGAATAGATATGTTGAGTATACCATGTACATTATAGGGTAGAATTATCGAAAGAGGTATAGGGATGAGACAGAAAGTAAGATTGCAGAGGAGCAAAGAGTATTTTGAAAGGGTAGGGGATGTGCAGACAAAGTGTTTACATTGTAGCGTATACAGTGGATTCGGTTTCCGTAGTTTCAATTAGCCATGGTTTATTTTGACCCAAAAATAACCCTTAATTTTGCTTAATAAAGGCTCCAAAGTACCCTAGTAGCAATGTGCAGTTCTTCAAAGCTTAAGAGAGGCTGTGAATTGCTTCCCATCAGTGAAAAAGAGATATTTCTCCACTTATTGTGTGTAATTTATCAAGTAAACTTTTATCGTAGGTATGTATGTAAATGAAGAACAACTTATACAGTGGACCCCCGCATAACGATCACCTCCGAATGCGACCAATTATGTAAGTGTATTTATGTAAGTGCGTTTGTATGTGTATGTTTGGGGGTCTGAAATGGACTAATCTACTTCACAATATTCCTTATGGGAACAAATTCGGTCAGTACTGGCACCTGAACATACTTCTGGAGTGAAAAAATATCGTTAACCGGGGGTCCACTGTATATAAGGTTTGCTACTATACATTGTTTTGGGTATCCGCGACAAGTCTTGGAACGTATATCCTGCATATGCAGGGGGGGACTACTGTATGTAGAGCATGTAATGAAATATTGAATTCATTGGAGAGAGAGATCTGAGAGTCATCAATTAGTGCAGGATTTATATTCCAACCAGTAAAAATGTAGATCAGTAGATCACTATCTACCAGTAGAGGAGCAAATTGAAAGTCCACAGCAGTGTTGTAAGGTCATGTTGTGGTCCATAGCAGTGTTGTAAGGTCATAGTGTGGTCCACAGCAGTGTTGTAAGGTTATAGTGTGGTCCACAGCAGAGTTGTTAGGTCAGAGTGTGGTTCACAGCAGTGTTGTAAGGTCATAGTGTGGTCCACAGCAGTGTTGTAAGGTCATAGTGTGGTCCATAGCAATGTTGTAAGGTCATAGTGTGGTCCATAGCAGTGTTGTAAGGTCATGGTGCGGTCCTAATCAAGCAATGACAGGTAACTGAATGGGACTGACAGCCTGTGCAGTGTCTAGTATTAACACCAGAGGTGTGCTAGTGCTCCTGTACGTGGGTGACGGTAAATGTCAGTGTCAAGGGGGTTGAAGCCCCCAAAGCCCCACAAAGTAAATACAATAACACCTCTACACTCTTAAACCCGTGTTACATAAAACTCCTGGATAAACATGATGATACACTGGACATCAGTGTGGTTAAAGAGTGTATTACTGGTGTTTTAACTTTATGCATATATAAATCAATTACAATTCCTCTGATATTTCATGGAACCTGAATATAAAAAAAAGGAATAATACATTATAAAAGACTATAATATATGTATTATGGAATTTCAGATCCCCAAAACAACATTGTTTCGTTTGAAAGAGCAGTTAGTACGTGACGGTAAGATGCCAGCATCGTGCATAAATAGGATTTTGCGCCCAAGACGTCCCTCCGAGATCTCCCTACAGCAGGCTATTACAGCATGCAAGGAGGGAGGCATGTCACAGACTCAGGCCTCGGAGAAATTCCAGGTATGCATTATATATACAGCCTCTCTTCACTTAGCGATGTACTAGTTTACTGACGACTCGGACTTACGATGGGCTCTCTGACTGGTATACATACCTAAATATAATGTATATTAGAACTGATTTCCTCTATTCTGTTTATTACAATATACATGTACAGTACACTACTGTAAAAAATCTAAAAATATTCTAAAAATGTTTTAAATGGTACAAAGGTGACATTAAAACAATATGAAAGATGGTTGACACAAACCCACTACCATTATAGTTTGCTCCTTGCTTAGTGAGATTGTATTCAAATTTTTTCAGAATTTTGCAGTTTTAGCAAAAATAATAACATACAGGCATACCTCTCTAAACACTGTCTTGTATATCCAGTGGTGTTGCCTACCTATTGTTGTGCATATAGTAGTAGTTACTGCATAAGAAATCCTACTTAACTGAAGATCATTGAATCAATTTGTTCCGTCCTGCCCTCTTGTGTATATACTGGCTCCCTTACCTTCGTGTGTTAGAGCGTGACTAGTTAATTGTCCAAAGGCGGACCGAAACATCGTATGTTTGTTTGTCCAATATGTTGATTATTTGTGTATTCCAGTCATGGTATTGTGCCGTTTTGTTCTTTAAAACTGTACCATTTGTTCATTAGCTACCTTGCTTATTGATGATTAAGACACATGCGAAACAGTTGGGTATCTTTATTGTTGAAATGTTTTGCCTACAGAGGCCTCTTTAACCCCGGAGGGTTAGCCACCCAGGATAACCCTGAGACCAGTGCATCATCGAGGACTGTCTGTCTTATTTCCATTGTGGTTTTTCAGTCTTGTACCCCAGGATGCAGCCCACACCAATCGACTAACACCTAAGAACCTACTTACTAATAGTAGGTGTAAGGAAGCATGCCCAGTGTTTCCACCCGTCCTGGGGATTAAACCACAGACACTCAGTGTGTGAAGCGAGAGCATTGACAACCTAGCCAGAGGAAACAGTATTGAGTGGCTTGTATAAATACTCCATCAATACATTGTCTGTGTGTTTCTGGCAAGTTTTATTACACTACTTTGGTGGGGTGGGAGACAGCCGATGTGCAAAAATAATTGCTCAAACTCACACAGAGTGTTGCCTGACTGTGAGAGTAGTTTCCATCACTATTAATGGACAGAGTATAAAGCCTTCACCAGTCACAGTACAGATTGACTGTCAAAGATTCAGCACTTCATATAAATATAATACATTAATAACCTAACCAATATAATTGTTGACAATTTGGTTAGCCAGACTTGAGTCCTGGAGGTGGGCAGCACAGTGCTTGCACTCTGGAGGGGTAGGGATTTTTGTAGGTTTGAACTGTAGTATTGGTGTCTCTCTGGCAAGACAGTGATGCAGTGAATGATAATGAAAGTGTTTTTTCTTTTATTTTGATCACTCCTCAAAAAGGTGGGAGGGAGGGGGTAAAGGAGGTTTTGTGAGTGAGGGGCTTGGACTTCCAGCAAGCATGTGTGAGCGTGTTAGATAGGAGTGAATGGAGACGAATGGTATTTGGGACCTGACGAGCTCTTGGAGTCTGAGGAGGGTAATATTTAGTGAAGGGATTCAGGGAAATTGGTTATTTTTATATAGCCAGACTTGAGTACTGGAAATGGGAAGTACAATGCCTGCACTTTAAAGGAGGGGTTTGGGATATTAGCAGTTTGGAGGGATATGTTGTGTATCTTTATACGTATATGCTTCTAAACTGTTGTGTTCTGGACACCTCTGCAAAAACAGTGATTATGTGTGAGTGAGGTGAAAGTGTTGAATGATGATGAAAGTATTTTCTTTTTGGGGATTTTCTTTCTTTTTGGGTCACCCTGCCTCGGTGGGAGACGACCAACTTGTTAAAAAAAAAATATTTATTTTCATTGCATTCTATATCTTCATTGTTTTATATTTGTTATACTTTTCCTCAAAGTTTTTTTTTTAACACGTTGGCTGTTTCCCACCGAGACAGGGTGACCCAAAAAGAAAGAACAAGCTTTCATCATTCAACACTTTCACCATCACTCATATGTAATCACTGTCTTTTCAGAGGCACTCAGAGGCTTTAGATGTCCCTCTAAACTGCCAATATCCCAAATATCTTTAAAGTGCAGACATTGTACTTCCCTGAATCCCTTCACAAAATATTACCCTGCTCACACTCCATATTTGCACCCCATCAACTAACTACACGAATACCACCTGGTGGTTCACACTTACACTCACTCACCCATTTGACCATAAACAGAAATATTAATCTCAATCTTAAAATAATGAATTCTATGATACTCCAATACTGAAACTATGTACTGTGCCAAAACAAAAGCATTCACATTGCTAAACTCACAAACTAGTATTTAGTCACTTAGCCATAATACCAACTTACCTCATAATTTGTAATACAGTGGACCCCTGGTTAACGATATTTTTTCATTCCAGAAGTATGTTCAGGTGCCAGTACTGACTGAATTTGTTCCCATAAGGAATATTGTAAAGTAGATTAGTCCATTTCAGACCCCCAAACATACACGTACAAACGCACTTACATAAATACACTTACATAATTGGTCGCATTGGGAGCTGATCGTTATGCGGGGATCCACTGTATTTTAAAATAAAGAATTAAACTAAGTCTGCCCGAAATGCCTAACCATGCTAGGCGTTTTAGTGGTACACTCTGTAATCATTATTTAACTACATGTAAACCATACAATAACCAAATTCTGTAAATTCAACATTGTAATCCTTATAGAGAATAAACTTTGAATTTGAATTTGAATTTGAATTTCCAGGACTCAAGTCTGGCTAACCGGTTACCCTGAATCCCTTCACAAAATATTACCCTGCTCACACTCCATATTTGCACTCTTTCCTGGTGTATCTCCACTACATGTAAATACATAACAAACCATGGGTGAAGTTGGTGCCATGCCCAGGCACTGTTGTATTAACCTTTTTTAATTCTAAAACCTTTGTGTCATGTTAGAAGTCTTTTGTTTTCAATTTTTATTTATTATTTTCTACCAGGTTTCATAATTGTCATTATACTGTAGTGATGTTTTTAGTCAAAACTGATACTATTTTAATTAGGGCAAAATTTTTGCAGGTATCAAAGACAACTGTTTGGCGCCGCCTTCAACGATTACAGCGAGAACGTGACATCAAAAATTCTTTGACTTCAGGGGATACACAGAATGTCAAAATTGAAGTGGTAGAGGATGCGACTAGTGACCATTTAAATAATAATTATGATGAAGAAATCACAATGAGGTACACTGAAGAGGGGGACTTGCAATATGTAGAAGCAGTTACTGACCAGAGTCAGATGGAGAAGACTCTCAGCTATGCAGATGTGTCACCAAGATACACCAATTCTGGTAACTCTGAGAAAATTTTTCAGAGAAAGAATAAAAACACTGAGGATGGAAAACTGAACAGCAGCAAAAGTGACAGAGAGGGAACAGTGTCAGAGTCCTCCATGGTAACCCAGGAAGGAGACGACACAGTGATTGAAGCCTCCCAGTCATCATTCATAAAGAGTGAACATATAGAGATATTAACTAGAGAGGGACACATAATTCACAGTGAGGATCCGCTGACCATTGCTCAGGAAGGCAAGATTATGTCTGACGCAGAAGGCTCAGGAGATGGGCCAGGGAATTCTCGATTTGAATTGTCGATGCCTCTTGTTAGTAACTTCTTGTGTGTTGCTGTGTAAATGTATAAGCTAAAAAAGTTCCTGTTCTGTAAGACATTATTTTTTTTTTTTCAACAAGTCGGCCGTCTCCCACCGAGGCAGGGTGACATTATTATTATTATTATTATTATTATAATCAAAACTAAACACTAAATCATCAGGGTCATTCAGCACTGTGTAAGATCTATAAAGTTAATTGTATTTGTAAGTTAAACACTGTAATTACCTTTGTAGCTACAGGAACAGAAGTACATATACAGTGGACCCCCGGTTAACGATATTTTTTCACTCCAGAAGTATGTTCAGGTGCCAGTACTGACCGAATTTGTTCCCATAAGGAATATTGTGAAGTAGATTAGTCCATTTCAGACCCCCAAACATACACGTACAAACGCACTTACATAAATACACTTACATAATTGGTCGCATTCGGAGGTGATCGTTATGCGGGGGTCCACTGTACTGGTGTTTGCATCTACAGCAGCAGAGCTATACTCTGTCATGTCTTCTGTATTTAGTGTCATATAACTTTGTTGAATTAATAGCAAATGTGGCCTTACTGACTCTGATTTTCTATATCAACTTTAACCATCCTAGAATTTCTACTTGATGTCCTTGCTTAAGCGCTCTGCTGGTCCCCTCTCCTCTCACAAACTCGTCACCTCATGTAGCACAGAATGACATGAGTTTAATGCTTTTTGTTAATATAATATTTGTAATGTACTAATTAGCTCCTCTTGTATCCCAGTTCATTGTTCTACCACTGTGGAAAAACACTACAGATTTCTCCTTTCTTTATATAGGTTTCCTTAATGCAAATTTGTTATTACAGCCTCTCCTCACTTAGTGACATACTCGTTTACCGACAATTCGGACTTATGACGGGGTCTCTGACCAGTATGAATACCTAAATAATGTATATTAGAGCTGATTTCCTCTATTCTGTTTATTACAATATACAGTACACTACTGTATAAATATTTAAAAATAAGTATACTAAAAATGTTATAAATGGTGCAAAGGTGACATTAAAATAATATAAACAATGGTTGACACAAACCCACGATCATTATAGTGTGCTCCTTGCTTAGTGACGAACTCATTTACTGACGTGGTTTTAGGAACGGAACTCCGTCATTAAGTGAGGAGAGGCTGTATTACATTTCATTTCTATCAGCAGTTCCAAATGTACAATGTAAACGTGCTGCATGTAGTCAAGAGCTGGATTAAGAATTTGTGGTCCCCTGAGCTACAGGTACTGTGAGGCCCCAGTGATATTTTCAAAAGAAAAAAAAATTAATCACAACAGTCAAGAGTTCATCATAAATGTGTTCGGGATATTGGCAGTTTGGAGGGATATGTTGTGTGTCTTTATACATATATGCTTCTAAGCTGTTGTATTCTGAGCACCTCTGCAAAAGCAGTGATTATGTGTGAGTGTGGTGAAAGTGTTGAATGATGACGAAAGTATTTTCTTTTTGGGGATTTTCTTTCTTTTTGGGTCACTCTACCTTGGTGGGAGATTGCCGACTTGTTAAAAAAAAAAAAATTATAAATTTTGATGAGGAACTGTAAACACTTTTCATTTAATTTCTGGAGGTCCTCCAGCTGGTGGAGGACCCTGGGCTACAGCACCTGGAGGCCCTCCAGCTGGTGGAGGACCCTGGGCTACAGCACCTGGAGGCCCTCCAGCTGGTGGAGGACCCTGGGCTACAGTACCTGGAGGCCCTCCAGCTGGTGGAGGACCCTGGGCTACATCACCTGGAGGCCCTCCAGCTGGTGGAGGACCCTGGGCTACATCACCTGGAGGCCCTCCAGCTGGTGGAGGACCCTGGGCTACATCACCTGGAGGCCCTCCAGCTGGTGGAGGACCCTGGGCTGCAGCACCTGGAGGCCCTCCAGCTGGTGGAGGACCCTGGGCTACAGCACCTGGAGGCCCTCCAGCTGGTGGAGGACCCTGGGCTACAGTACCTGGAGGCCCTCCAGCTGGTGGAGGACCCTGGGCTACATCACCTGGAGGCCCTCCAGCTGGTGGAGGACCCTGGGCTACATCACCTGGAGGCCCTCCAGCTGGTGGAGGACCCTGGGCTGCAGCACCTGGAGGCCCTCCAGCTGGTGGAGGACCCTGGGCTGCAGCACCTGGAGGCCCTCCAGCTGGTGGAGGACCCTGGACTGCAGCCTCTGGAGGCCCTCCAGCTGGTCCTCCACCAGCTGGAGGACCAATCAACCTATGGTGACCTTCATTTTTCACATTAAATATTCTCATTAATGCAAAAATAAGCATTGACAGCCTGATTGAGTTTAGTGCGTGTGATGTAAGGCCTGGACTGCATTCACTTTATAAAAAAGGGGCACCTCTATCTTTATACTCTTTCATGCTGAATTGTGCTAAGAAAAACTTTTGTATTCTTTTATAACGTTATGTGTTGTTTTCATGTCTCCTTTTTTTTTCCTCCTATCAGTAAAAGAGGCATTTTTAATGTCTTCAGCCTTTCTTCAGAACTTTTATTTAGCTGTGAAAGCCATTACTGTCATTGATGATTGGTCTGCATAAGTTTTGTAAGCTGCACACCAAAATGTATATGGATTAGAAAAGTGCAATAGTTCATTTTAAGAATCTAAATTTTCAAAATGTGCTCAGATTAACATGGGACATTGTAACTCCATGTATCATCACACACCATCATTTACAAACATATATCATCGTGTATCATCACTTACAAACATACATAATCACTTACAGACATTTTTTTTTCAACAAATCGGCTGTTTCCCGCCAAGGCAGGGTGGCCCAAAAAGAAAAACAAAAGTTTCTCTTTCTAAATTTAGTAATGTATACAGGAGAAGGGATTACTAGCCCTTTGCTTCTGGCATTTTAGTCGCCTCTTACAACACGCATGGCTTACGGAGGAAGAATTCTGTTCCACTTCCCCATGGAGATAACAGGAAATAAACAAGAATAAGAAGTAGTAAGAAAATAGAAGAAAACCCAGAGGGGTATGTATATATGTATATGCTTGTACATGTATGTATAGTGTGACCTAAGTGTAAGTAGAAGTAGCAAGACGTACCTGAAATCTTGCATGTTTATGAGACAGACAAAAGACACCAGCAATCCTACCATCATATAAAACAAGTACAGGCTTCCGTTTTACACTCACTTGGCAGGACAGTAGTACCTCCCTGGGCGGTTGCTGTCTACCAACCTACTACCACAGGACGGTAGTACCTCCCTGGGCGGTTGCTGTCTACCAACCTACTACCACAGGACGGTAGTACCTCCCTGGGCGGTTGCTGTCTACCAACCTACTACCACAGGACGGTAGTACCTCCCTGGGCGGTTGCTGTCTACCAACCTACTACCACAGGACGGTAGTACCTCCCTGGGCGGTTGCTGTCTACCAACCTACTACCACAGGATGGTAGTACCTCCCTGGGTGGTTGCTGTCTACCAACCTACTACCACAGGATGGTAGTACCTCCCTGGGCAGTTGCTGTCTACCAATCTACTACCACAGGACGGTAGTACCTCCCTGGGCGGTTGCTGTCTACCAACATACTACCTAGGACTTACAGACAACAGACATATCATCACATATCATCATTTATGAACACATATCATCACCTACAAACACATCAAGCACACATATCTTCACTGACACACCAGCTACACGTATCATCACTGACACACCAGCTACATATATCATCACTGACACAACAACTACACATATCATCACTGACACACCAGCTACATATATCATCACTGACACAACAACTACACATATCATCACTGACACAACAACTACACATATCATCACTGACACACCAGCTACACATATCATCACTGACACACCAGCTACACATATCATCACTGACACACCAGCTACACATATCATCACTAACACACCAGCTACACATATCATCACTGACACAACAACTACACATATCATCACTGACACACCAGCTACACATATCATCACTGACACAACAACTACACATATCATCACTGACACAACAACTACACATATCATCACTGACACAACAACTACACATATCATCACTGACACAACAGCTACACATATCATCACTGACACAACAACTACACATATCATCACTGACACAACAACTACACATATCATCACTGACACAACAACTACACATATCATCACTGACACAACAGCTACACATATCATCACTGACACAACAACTACACATATCATCACTGACACAACAACTACACATATCATCACTGACACAACAACTACACATATCATCACTGACACACCAGCTACACATATCATCACTGACACAACAACTACACATACCATCACTGACACACCAGCTACACATACCATCACTGACACACCAACTACACATATCATCACTTACAAACACACCAACGCCAGTCAAAGTTTTGTAAAAATGTGTGAATCACAGCCTTCATAATATTATTTTCTATACAGAAATACTCGAAAGGAAAGTGTTTTGATGCTATTGAAAGGCTTTTGATCCAGAGTTTTGGAGCTTTCCTCTCCTTCCATGGATTGAACCTGATTGCCTCCTATTCCCAAGGCATTGCACTTAATCACATTAATAATAATAATAAATAATAATATAATGATAGCCCAAATAACATCAAGTAAGTTTATTTAGGTACAGGTACACATATGTACATTTATCTTACATAGTAATTTATTTAGGATAACGCAGTGACTTATTTTCATCATGGTGACTTATTTTCATTGCAGATGAACTTAACCAGTGGTGAATACCAAGTGGTGGGAAGTGAGATTGTGATCGGAGGGCAGCAGATGGTAGTATTGGAGTCCCAGGATGCCTCTCACACTCACCATCACAACCCCGACCATCACCATCACCTTGTGGTTGCGTCCTTTGCTCAAATGGTATGTTGGTGCAAAATTTATGGCACTTATTTATTTATTTTGCTGATGAAAGAGGGCAAGACTGCTCTGGTCATACAATAATGAAATTTTGGCACCTTAGGCCTCTCAGTGGACGTTCCTTAACCCTTAAACTGTCCAAGCAGATCTACATTCATATGCATAGTGCTCCAAAAGTAGATCTACGTTTATTTTACATTTTCAAATACATGTATAACAAAAAAAAAACGTAGATCAAAGTTTTTTTTACACGTTTTCAAGTGTATATAAAAAAAGATTTAGTTTTTTTACATACTTTCAAATGTTGAAAAAACGTAGATCTACGTTTGGACAGTTTAAGGGTTAATATCGAAGGGATTTTGGTTAAAGGAATTGGAGTTATCTTCCCATTTCCCAGGTGCTGTATTCTCATTCCTGTATCCAGCAGTGGCATATGGTGGGTTATTGCCACAGGGTGTGCACTGTTCATGATACAACTAGCTGTGGGGTGTGCAGTGCTATCTTAGAATATCTGCCACAATATTTCATAACAGGGGATGAAAAATTAGTTTCCCTTTTGATACATAATTATATTATTGAGTGAGTGTGCAGTGCTCATCAGCACACTCAGAATATATGCCCTTGGTATCCAGCCTTACACTTCTTAAGCTGAGTTCCACCTCTTTATCTGTTATCTTCACCTTCTGACAACCTAAAGTCCTCCCTAACTCTCCCTTTGATACCCTCACCACCACTCCAAAGACCTTGAGACCCCATTGTAGTTCTTAAAAGATCACCACCATCATCTTGAGACCCCATTGTAGTCCTTAAAAGATCACCACCATCACCTTGAGACCCCATCGTAGTCCTTGAAAGATCACTGCCATCATATTGAGACCCCATTGTAGTCCTTGAAAGATCACCACCATCACCTTGAGACCCCACTGTAATCCTTGAAAGATCACCACTATCACCTTGAGACCCCATTGTAGTCCTTGAAAGATCACCACCATCACCTTCAGACCCCATTGTAGTCCTTAAAAGATCACCACCATCACCTTGAGACCCCATTGTAGTCCTTGAAAGATCACCACCATCACCTTGAGACCCCATTGTAATCCTTAAAAGATCACCACCATCACCTTGAGACCCCATGGTAGCCCTTAGAAGATCACCACCATCACCTTGAGACCCCATTGTAATCCTTAAAAGATCACCACCATCACCTTGAGACCCCATGGTAGCCCTTAGAAGATCACTACCATCACCTTGAGACCCCATTGTAATCCTTAAAAGATCACCACCATCACCTTGAGACCCCATGGTAGCCCTTAGAAGATCACCACCATCACCTTGAGACCCCATTGTAATCCTTAAAAGATCACCACCATCACCTTGAGACCCTATTGTAGTCCTTGAAAGATCACCACAATCACCTTGAGACCTAACAACATTATCCCTTCACAAACTACATACTCTGACCAACATATACATACTATATATAAAATGTTTATTGCTGTTTTGGTTAGTCTTAAGATTACCTGAAATGCTCTGCATAAACAGGGGGTTTCCATATGCAATATTATCATACATTTTTGTACAAACAATTTTTTTTTCAATGAACTGGCTCTATCCCGCTGAGGCAGGGTGACCTAAAAAGAAAAGTGAAAGTTTTTCTTCTTAAATTTAGAAATGTATACAGGAGATAGGGTTACTAGCTTCTTGCTCCTGGTGTTTTAGTCACCTCTTACAACACGCATGGCTTATGGAGGAAGAATTCTTTTCCACTTCCCGATGGAAATAAAGAATTTGAAATTTGGAATTTTGAACTACCTGGCTTTTTAAATTACTGTTACACCTATTGTATAAATACATGTGACCCCTCACACTCTTGATCCTATCTTCTCCAGACACAAGACGTCAGTCCTACTTTTATGGACTTCATCAGTTGAGCTAATTAGTCTCTCATAACCTTCCACTTCCCTACTCTACTTCCTCTACTCCACTCTGCCCATCCTACATGTTACACTACTTCCTTGTATGTCCCATAAGGCTCATATAATCAGTCAGAACTAAGTGGTAAGCCCACAAGTTGTACATACAGCACCTGAATAATGAATTGTAATCAGGTTTGGTCCAAGGGAGATGGCATTTATAATTCCTTAGATCAGTAGCCCCTCACCACAGTTTTAGAAGAGGTTAAAATTTGTAATAATGAAATAAGATTGTTTTTATGTGCTTTTCTGGGGTTTAATTTTATAAATTTAATAATGTTCTTTGTCTGTTCTTCAGGAAAGATTAGAGGATCTGTCCAAGGTGCAAAGAACAGTGGAAGTAGATAACCTTGAACCTTCACTGCAACAAGGAGAGGACAAAGTCGACGCAAGCATGGAGTCCTCGGAAAACCTTCCATAGTTGCCGCTTCACCACCACAAGAGGAGACTACATGCATCCCTCAGAAAGTCTTTCATAATGATAGTTTCTCCAGCACATTAGAGTAATACTCATGCCACATTAGAGTAATACTCATGCCACATTAGAGTAATACTCATGCCACATTAGAGTAATACTCATGCCACATTAGAGTAATACTCATGCCACATTAGAGTAATACTCATGCCACATTAGAGTAATACTCATGCCACATTAGAGTAATACTCATGCCACATTAGAGTAATACTCATGCCACATTAGAGTAATACTCATGCCACATAAAGTGCGATGGGCCTCGAGTTACATTTAACTTTTAACAGGAAAAGTTGAAGTCTTTATTATCAGTTATCTCACCCTCACTGGGGCTGATATCTCACCTCAGCCTTTCGGCATTTTGTGACTTATACAGGTTGAGTGTATTCTGTATAATAATTGAGTGTATTTTGTATAATAATTACCCACAGTGAGACTTTATCAAGTACTTCATTATTATCATCATGGGGGAGTGCTAAACCTGTAGGGAATATACTACAGCACCTGGGAGGGTGGAAGGTATTCAAGCTCAATTCAGGAAACTGGAGCACAGATCCAATTCCCTAGATCAAGAGCCCTTCACTTGCACCAAGGAACCTCCCTTGAGGGGTCAAGTACACTTGTTAAAACTCCACTGTGGGTGGAACATTATATAATAAAGTTTTTCTCTACTTAAAGTGTCTTTGAAAGTGCCATTATTCTCTTATGTGTGTGTTCCTGTGTTCATCTGTTGCATTTTGTGTGTTGATCAATAAGAGACATTAGCAACACCTGGGTATCTTTATTGCCAAAATGTATCGCCTGCATGGCAGGCGTCTTCAGTGGAATACGAAGACGCCTTTTATACCAATAGACTCCTGGTTGTCTTTAATTAAGAGGGAGCTGGACAGATACCTGAAGTCAGTGCCAGATCAGCCGGGCTGTGATTCGTACATTGGACTACGTGTGGCCAGCGGTAACAGCCTAGTTGATCAGGGCCTGATCCATCAGGAGGCCTGGAGGGTATTCTTGGGCATTGATCCCCACAATACCCTCCAGGTAGACTCCAGGTATGTGTTGGTGATACAGATACATAAGAACATAAGAAAGGAGGAACACTGCAGCAGGCCTGTTGGCCCAGACTAGGCAGGTCCTTTACTATCCATCCCACTAGCAAAATATTGATGGTATACAGTGCTGATCAGTACTGACAGGTATACACTGTATTTGTGGATACCTGAATAAACTTACTTATGAAGAATAAGATATATGTAAATTCTGGCTGCTTGCCTATATTATAGGCTTGAGGGAGTGACTTCCTACCTAGGCTGAGAGACTAACCTGGGTGTTGTCACCTTACACCTGCTATCACTGTTCACCTAGCAGTAAGTAGGTACCTGGGTGTTAGTCACCTTACACCTGCTGTCACTGTTCACCTAGCAGTAAGTAGGTACCTGGGTGTTAGTCACCTTACACCTGCTGTCACTGTTCACCTAGCAGTAAGTAGGTACCTGGGTGTTAGTCACCTTACACCTGCTATCACTGTTCACCTAGCAGTAAGTAGGTACCTGGGTGTTAGGTGACTGGTGTGGGAAGGACCAAAATAGAAATAAGACACAGTCCTTGATGATACACTGACTTTCTTTGGTTATCCTGGCTGGCTAACCCTCTGGGGTTAAAAATCCAACAAGATCTTAACTTATTCGTATGGAGTTAAGCCAAAATTATTGGGTTTCTTGGGTTATCATGGGTCACTTTAACGTATGTGTCATCCTGGGTCATTTACACATGTTACTGTGTATGAAAGTGTACTTGTGTGTAGTTGTACCTAAATAAACTTACTAATAGTCAAAATGAAATCTCTAACGTATAGTCACTTAATATAAAATAGTTTCCCGAGAAATAATTTCGTTTTTTATTGTTGTCTACTTAAAGAAAACATTTTTTAAGCACTAACTTAACTAAATTTTAACTAGAAACTATTACTGACTCGGGGTTACCCCGACTTTCTTCTGGTTAGCAACTCATCAGGGTTAATAATTCAGGTTAATCCAAGAAAGTTAATCGGTGCATGTTATTTCCACGTTCTCTGGTCCTCTCCCGGGATGCCACACACAACATTCTGGTGACTCAGGAAATCGTAATGACACTACTGCAAACAAACTATACCACTGGTATGGTTCTGGTACAGAGGCAAATAGGGCGCAGCAGATATTAAGAGGCGCATCAATTGCTTGGCCTGGCCCAGGGTTGAACCCAAGTCCACGGTTCCCCGTGGCTTGGTGGCAAAAGCTCTCGCTTTACACGATTGTGACCAGACCTACCTGGAGTTCATTACCTTTGTAAATTGTGAGTTCATTACCTTTGTAAATTGTGAGTTCATTACCTTTGTAAATTGTGAGTTCATTACCTTTGTAAATTGTGAGTTCATTACCTCTGTAACTTGCTCAGCTATCAAAACTTTGGAGTCCAGTCACTGGACCAATTATGTACCTCTGTTATCTTTTGACTACCACCCACAGGATGGGTATGTGGTGACTACCGCCCACAGGATGGGTATGGGGCGCATAATAAACATATTAAACTAAAACTTCACAAATAAATAACAAAAAGGCACAATACCGTGACTGGAACGATACACAAATAACCCGCACATAAAAGAGAGAAGCTTACGACGACGTTTCGGTCCGACTTGGACCATTGACAAAGTCACACAGTGTGACTTTGTCAATGGTCCAAGTCGGACCGAAACGTGGTCGTAAGCTTCTCTCTTTTATGTGCGGGTTATTTGTGTAAAACTTCACACGCTGAATGTCCGGGTTAGATTCCCGGCGAAGGGGTGGAAACTTCGGACGTGTTTCCTTACATCGGTTGTCTATGTTCACCCATTAGTAAAATGGGTATCTGGGTGTTAGTGGACTGGTGTGGGTCGCATCCTGGGACAAAACTGACCTAATTTGCGGGAAATGCTTAGCATATATATAGTAGTATGTCACTGATGTCAACTATGAATCTTATTATGGCTAGCTGGTCTAGTGGCTAACGCGACGGGCTGGAGTTTTGAGACTCTCTGACCGCGGGTTCAATCCCGCAGTCTGCAGTTCTAGAGTTCTCAGGTAGGGTATTCCAGATTTTAGGGCCTTTGACATACATTGAATTTTTGTAAAGGTTTAGTCGGACACGGGGAATGTCGTAGAGATGTTTGTGTCTGGTGTTATGCCTGTGGGTTCCGTCACAACTATCAAGAAAGCGTTTTAGGTCAAGGTTGATATTGGAGTTTAAGGTCCTGTAGATGTAGATTGCACAGTAGTAAGTGTGGATGTACTGAACAGGGAGTAAGTTTAGGTCTATGAAGAGTGGGGGGGGGGTGTTGCCAGGGATGGGATTTAGTGATTATTCTTACTGCGGCTTTTTGTTGGGTTATTATTGGATTTAGGTGTGTTGCTGCAGTTGATCCCCAAGCACAGATAGCATAGGTGAGGTATGGATATATAAGTGAATGGTATAGTGTGAGAAGGGCAGTCTGTGGTACGTAGTATTGTATCTTGGAGAGGATCCCAACCGTTTTGGATACTTTTTTGGTTATGTGTTGGATATGGGTGCTGAAGTTCATGTTGTTGTCGAGGTATAGGCCTAGGAATTTGCCCTCATTATGCCTGGCAATTAGAGTGTTGTCGATCTTAATGTTAATTTGCGCATCTCCTGCTCTGCTACCAAACATAATGTAGGAGGTTTTGTCAGTGTTAAGTAAATTATTCTTGTTTTGAATTGTCTATCAAGTAAATTTTCTTGCTCTGAACAATCTATTAGGTAAATTATTCTTGCTCTGAACAGTCTATTAAATATTTTTTTCTTATTTTGAACAATCTATTAAGTGTTCTTGTATTCCCATCCGTCTACTTGTCCAACCTTCTCCAAAAGCTACGCAACGGTTAGCCCCAGACACAGACTCATGGAACTCCGTGTTCATCAAGAACTGCAAGAAGCCCTTGTCTGGTGCCTTCACCATTCTAAAGAGAGGAAGCATGGACACGGGGGTCGTCCCACAGTCACTAAAAATAACATAGCCCCGCTCCACAAAGGTGGCAGTAAAGGAATTGCGAGGAATTACAGATTGATAGCACTAATAACTGGAGTATACCTGGAGAGGGTTTCGGGGGCCAACGCCCCCTCGGCTCGGTCTGTGACCAGGCCTCGTGGTTTAGAAACTGCGCTGTATGGCCCTTGTAGGTTTAGCGGTTCTTTTTGATTATAATAATGTGGTTCAGAAAGATACGTGAGCGAACTCTAAAGACATTAGAAAACGTTTCGGTTTTGGGCTCTTGATCACTTCTAACATACATAAGTTTGCCAGGACGGGTCCTGGCCCAGGTCTTCTCCATGTGGTGACTCGCCAGTGGCTCCCGAAGGAGTGTCGGAGTTGGTACCCACCACAAGTGATGCACGGTTTACAGCCCTATGCCAGGGACACGGTGAGCATTCTTGTCGACCGGAGTGCCGTTTACAGCCCTATGTCCGGGCAGCCCTATGACAAGGGCACGGTAACTCTTTCAACTCAGGCCGCAGCCTGAGTGCCAGAATGACTCAGAAGATTCTCTGGAGATTCTCAAAACATCAGAGGTTAAAAAGACAGTATATAGGTAAAGAGTGAAGTGTGAGCTACAGTCACCTGAAGAATGCCGTGTTGGGGTGAGGACAGGTAGATAATGTGATTATGTAGCTCCTGTACTCACCTAGTTGTGGCTGCAGGGGTCGATTCACAGTTCCTGGCCCCGCCTCTTCACTGATCAACCATACCCCCGGCCGGGATTGAACCCGCGGTCATAGAGTCTCAATGGGGGTATGGTTTATTTGCAATCGTGTCATTACGATTTCTTGAATCATCTTCACTGATCGTTACTAGGTCACTCTCCCTGCTCCATGAGCTTTATCATACCTCTTCTTAAAGCTATGTATGGATCCTGCCTTCACTACATCACTTCCCAGATTATTCCACTTCCTGACAACTCTGTGATTGAAGAAATACTTCCTAACATCCCTGTGATTCATCTGAGTCTTCAACTTCCAACTGTGTTGTTAGGTAGGTGGTGCTTTACCTGTGTTGTTAGGTAGGTGGTGCTTTACCTGTGTTGTTAGGTGGGTGGTGCTTTACCTGTGTTGTTAGGTAGGTGGTGCTTTACCTGTGTTGTTAGGTAGGTGGTGCTTTACCTGTGTTGTTAGGTAGGTGGTGATTTACCTGTGTTGTTAGGTAGGTGGTGCTTTACCTGTGTTGTTAGGTAGGTGGTGCTTTACCTGTGTTGTTAGGTAGGTGGTGCCTTACCTGTGTTGTTAGGTAGGTGGTGCTTTACCTGTGTTGTTAGGTGGGTGGTGCTTTACCTGTGTTGTTAGGTAGGTGGTGCTTTACCTGTGTTGTTAGGTAGGTGGTGCTTTACCTGTGTTGTTAGGTGGGTGGTGCTTTACCTGTGTTGTTAGGTAGGTGGTGCTTTATCTGTGTTGTTAGGTAGGTGGTGCTTTATCTGTGTTGTTAGGTGGTGGTGCTTTACCTGTGTTGTTAGGTAGGTGGTGCTTTATCTGTGTTGTTAGGTAGGTGGTGCTTTACCTGTGTTGTTAGGTAGGTGGTGCCTTACCTGTGTTGTTAGGTAGGTGGTGCTTTATCTGTGTTGTTAGGTAGGTGGTGCTTTACCTGTGTTGTTAGGTA